TATATTAATAATATTTTTTAAAAATTATTTTTAATATTAACACATCAAAATAATTTGAAAATATTAAAAATATATAAATTTAAAATTAATAAAAAATAAAAAAAATTAATTTTTTTAAAAATACTTTTAAAATACAGAAACAAAGAGATTAAGAATGTTTTTATAACTACAAGTAATTTTTTTAATATTTTATGCTAATTTAATATTTATTATTTTAATTAAAATATAATTTAAAATATTATAATAATAAAATTATATTTTAACACCTTTTTTTCATAAAAAATAATATTTTTATGCTATAAATATATTATAAATTCTTCAAATTCAAAATAGAAATTTTTTTTATTTTTAATATTTTAAACATATATATTTTTAATGCTTATATGTCTAAAACATTATCATAATTTTTTTTATAAAGATGCTATTTTAAGTATTTAAGAGTTTTTATATTTATCAAATGAGATTTGTTACAAGTACTAACTATCTTAGTTTATTAGATACTATTAGTTATTAATTATTATAATTTTTCATATTTAGTTAACAATTATTTTATTTAAAAAAATAAATCAAATTATTTAAATTAAAATATTAATTAATTATTCAACAGGTTAACTTTATTTTTAAATATCTTAAATTTTAGAACTCATCACATATAATAAAATGAAACTTCGATTCTTATGTATAATCATTGTACGATTGTTAGTTTCTGAAACTACAACTTCCACAAACGCTGGCACTTGAATCATTTAGATCTTTATATTTAACACTGAACTCAGTTTTTTAAACACGGTTTTCATGCTGGCACGTTGTTTACTAATGAGTTGATTATTGGTTTATTGAATCATTGGGGGCCGTGTTCAAGAAGCTCTTTGTATTTATAGCAACTTCCCAACTCATATATCCATGTGATTTTCAGTATTTTGTTCGTCTTGTGCTTCCTAGCCTCTTCTTAGCTATTGCCTTCCGACAATCATGTCTTTTGATAATGTCATAGAAGTCCCCACTAAACTAAAAGTGAGACTTTTATCTTCAAGATAAATGAGGTATAGAAATAATGAGATGACATGCCAGCGAGTTTTCGCATAATTATAAAATAAATATATCTGATAGTATTATAATTTTAAATTAATATTATATAAATAAAAAAATTAAAAATATAATAAAATAAATATTTTATGACAAAAAAAAAGTTGTATTGTGATAAAAAATTTAAAGATTAAAATCTATAATATCCTGTGAAGAAAGATATAGTATTTTCGTTATATGATTTGATTTTTTTGTTAATAAAAAGTAAAAAAAATTACAAAGTTAAATTTTTTACCAACTTAATATTAAAAAAAAACAACAAAGATAATTTTGGAAGAAAAAAAATTCATAAGAAGAAACATTGTAGCAATTGATAATGTTTTGTGAGAAAAAGTACACTACTTTTCCCAATAAAATAAAATAACCATTTAGAGAAATATTATAGTAATTTACAATGTTTTGTAAGAAAAATTACAACCCTTTTCTTATATAATTTAGCTTTATTGTAATTATAATTTTTAATCAACTCAGTATTCAAAAAAACAATCAATCAAGATAATTTTAGAAAAAATCATAAAAAAATCATATGGAAAAACAGTGAAACAATTAACAGTATTTTAAAGAAAAAAATTATAAAACTAAATTCTTAATCAACTCAATATTAAAAAAAATCAACAAAGATAATTTTAGAAAAAAAAAAGAAAAAAGAGAAAAAAATTATGTTGAAAACACTGTAGCAATTCACAATGTTTTGTGATAAAAGTTACAATGCTTCCCTACATGATTTAGCGTTATTTGCAATGACTTGTAATTGTAATTCTCAAATAGCTCAATATTAAAAAAATAAAATTAAAAAAGATAATTTTAAAAAATAATTTAAGAAAAAAAACCATATAAAGAGACATTGTAGCAATCTAAAATGTTTTGTAAGTAAAGCTTCAATACTTTCCCCATATGATTAAAATTTATTACAAATTTAAATTAAAACCAACTTAATATTTTAAAAAAAATAATGAAGATAATTTTGGAAAAAAATATTATAAAAAATAAAAACACAAAAGAAACTGGAAAAAAAAACTATGTGTGGAAAAACTGTATCAATCCATAATATTTTGTGAGAAAAAACTTGTATTTATTTGTAATTGTAATTCTTAATCAGCTTAATATTTAAAAAATAAAATTGATAAAGATAATTTTAGAAAAAAATATAACAAAACAAAAAAAACCATGTAGAAAAAAACATCATAGCAATCTACAGTAATTTGCAAGGAAAATCATAATGCTTTTATCATATATTGTAATTATAATTTTTAACTAGTTTAATATAAAAAATATATATATAAAAAATAATTTCTGAGAAATAAAAAAACCATGCAGAGAGATATTGTAACAATCAATAATATTTTTTTAAAAAAATTACAAAAATAAAATATTAAAAAGGAATAAAATTAATAAATATAATTTTATAAAATAAAAAACTATGTGAGAAAACAGTATAAAAATCCACAGTATTTTAAAGAAAAAAATTATAAAGCAAAATTTTTAACTAGGTAAATATTTAAAAAGTAAAATTAA